AAGTTTCGAAGATCTCAGACAAGCTCTTTGCAAAGAACCTGTCTTGAGGTACCCAAATTTCAATAATCCGTTCATTACAACTACGGATGCATCAGATGAAGCGACCGGAGCTGTCTTAAGCCAAGGCAAAATAGGAGAAGATCCTCCGATTGCTTATGCATCTCAAGTGCTCACACCATGTCAGCAAAATTATTCCACCTCGGAAAAGGAATGCCTCGCTATAGTCAACGCAGTGAAACAATTTAGAACATACATTTACGGCCAAAAATTTACCCTTGTGACGGATCATCGTCCACTGCAATGGTTATTTTCAATTAAGGATCCTACATCGCGCCTCGCACGCTGGAGAATTTTACTCGCTGATTACGACTATGAGATTGTATACAAGCCCGATCGCGTAAACGCGAATGCAGACGCATTATCACGAAACCCTGTGATATAAGCTCTCCCTTTAGTACCTGGAGAAGGCTCGGCACAAAACACATCAGAATCTCCCCAGACCAAACTACAAAGAACCATCATCCCTGATCTTAGAGGAAACCGAAGATTCGATACACCCCGACAACATAGACGACCTTCCTCCTCACGATTATCTGGACGAAGCACCTGAGGCAAATTCTACTGGTATAGAAACAGCACTCGTAGGTGAACCAGAATTCGACGCTACAGAAGACGTCAGCCGACCAGGAGGTGTTCAGAAAAATCAAGAGGGTGACAACTTTCCACCACGATTCACCACAGAAGAAATCACGTTTCTTCGAAGTCTGGATCAGGCAGAATTGCCAAATAGCGAAGACTCGACCCAAAACGCGGAAAACCAACCTCCAATCGCGAAAAAACGCGTTTCATGGTTTTTACCTCCTCCAACGGATGTATTAGAGGTACCACAATCAACTATGGTCTTCGCCGAACCAGACGAATCTGGAATAACGATCAGAAATACATGGAATGAACAAAGTACTACCGCTCATTCTGTTAACGAAAATAGAGAATTAAAATTCGATACGTTTATAGATTCATATCATCCACAAACTCAGAACCAGAATATTTCTTCGAAATTAAATCCGAAACAATGCGAAGTCTTAGTTTCTAGAAAAACCTTAACGACTGAACCAGATAATTACGCACATTTTATTTCCGCGGATCGAATACTAACAAGTGGAAATTGTAAAACTCTAAAGGCTCTCGGACTCCTAGAGGAGATTGTATTAATCACCGAAGACCTAAACCCAGGGCGCGTAATCGTAACCCTTAACAACGAAGGAAAGGTTTTTAGCATCCTGGGAACCAGAAATTTCTTCCACGAAATGGGAATTTCGGAACTGTCGCATTCACTTTCTGCTCTTAAAGAAACAATGAAAATTGAAAAGATAACTTCAATTCGTATAGCCGCACATGGTGAAATTCTCCATCATTTCGATCATAACATAGTTAGCCCTTAGTTAGTCATTAGTTATTCATTAGTTAGCCTTTAGTTCACCTTTAGTTTATTGTTGTATCGCGGAATATATATATCATCACATAATAAACTCCTTATAGTTCATTATCGATTCTGATAAATCAGAAGTAAATATGATCCAAATTACGTCGTGTTTGGTATCATTTTAATCAGAAAAATCTCACCAATTTGTGTATAAAAGGTTCGTTAATAAAGAATCAAAAATAAAAAAGTTTGATCGTTACATTAGTATTGTCTCACCGACACCCGGGAATATAACCTTTTTGTGGGCTCCCAACGTTCAGTCGTCGGCTCGTGAACGGGAAGCCGTCTCGGTGCGCTGCGGCAACAAAGTACGCGAATGCAGAGTTCCACGCCCCCCCCCTCCCCCCCCCCCGCCCCACCAGTGGTAGGGATGACGCCTGGACCTGACACCCTACCACCTCATTTCAAACGAATGCGACTTTATAAAAACGACGCGCATCGCCTACCGGTGAATGCTAATTCTTCGAACGCTCCGGAACCCAAGTATCCCCAATTATTCGTTGTACACCCACGAGAACAACAATACATATACCACAGTTTTTAACAAGGAAGCCACATCAAACATTTGTTGTGTTCTGTATTAAATGTAAATTTACACCTAACAGTACCTAATATTTGACGTGCAAAGTTAAAGAATGAATTAAATACTTTACATACATATATTTGTTATCAATAATTAATCAATAATAATTAATTAGTTTTACATGTTTATTTAGAATAGATTTATAAAATAGATTAATACAATGTATACAAGTGCTTAGCTTAGATGTTCTAATATTTATAATAACAAGTTTAATGTTCGATGCTTCTGTATGTAAAAAGTTCTTATAATTGGTTGTCAACTAGGTGTAATCCAATTGTTTATTTGGTATGATTCAGTTTAGAATAAATTATAAACCCATGTACATCACCTGCTTAATGTGGCAACCAGCTCTAAACCAGATGTAATTTTTTACACTTTGGCTGGTATATGTAAAAAGTGGACAAAAACAATAAATGGAATGGATGAAACGGGTTAGAGCTGGTTAGCTAGTGTGCTTTCCCTGTGTGGCGGGGAACAGAATACGCCCACAGTAATCCCTGCCTGTCGTAAGAGGCGACTAAAAGGGACCGTTGGGATCGCGGGACGGTGGCACCCGCTGTCCGGGGGAGGGGAGCTCTCCGCTGCCCCCACCACAGAGAGGGCGCTCCGCCGTCAACTGGCGGAGCCGGCGCTGGGGAGGTACCGGTTGTGTTCGCAAGAGATCCCGGTGCCTCCCCGCAGAGCGCCGAGCCCGGCCACCGTGAGGGTTTAGTGGGTATTCCCCCTGGGCTTCGCCCTATTGGGGGTGAGTCCCACACTACCCCCGCCCACTCCTCCCACATTGGGGGAGGGC